AAGGATTAGGTCAATTGAGAAAAATCCAATGATCTCATCGGGACTTGAACCCGCGACCTTCATGCTTGTAGCATAGTGCCTCAACCAACTAAACTACCGTGTGCCCCTTTTAGACTTAGGTCCGGTATTCTAAAGAACACAGTTTCTCGGAAAATGGATCTATTTCCGTCTTCAGGTGAGGGCGTTGTGTTCACAAGAAACAGCTAACCTCAATCACTGGACCTCGTGCTGTGTGGAGTACCGGCCGCTGGACAAGGTCCAAAAACCCTGTAATCACGATTGGTTCATATCAGATTAGTTTACAACCGTGTCTCAACTCCCATGTTATGTCTTTAAATCAGATATAGGCCTTGTGACCCATATAGGGAAGCCAGTCTAAACGGAATCCTGTCTTTACAGCGGAATCTAATGAGGTCTCGGAAATACAGAGTGAAAAATAACCTCAGACCAGCAAAAACTGTTTCGTTCTGAAATGGAAAGAAGTTATGAAGACAAAGCCATAGTTTTGGCTCTAATCGGAAGTGAATGGTCAGCTTTACTCTCCGGCCTCTTTGCCTCTGAGAAAAGAGCCCTTGATGCCCGCTGAATATGTCTGGATATGCCACATAACCGGTGTGGATTCGGTGGAGAAAAGAAAAATCTCTTTGAGATTTCTCAAGTTCTCACGGCAATGGCTATAACTATTAATGTCTTTTGTGATGTGACGCCGTGCGTTTTGATAGATAGGTACCAGCGTTTCGAAGGGACCTACTGCTATCATTTCCACTTTTATACCCTGACAGAAGCAGCTGATCCCCCGAAACGTCAGTAGCTATTTATCAAACTGCACAAGACAGTAATCCCCATAAAAATACCTGATTCCTCCAGTCTTCCAGCCTACAGACAATCACCGTGATGCATGAACTGTTTCGGATAAGAATTTTTGTGGCATGGGTGTAAAGGTGAACGTCATTTGGTGTGGAGTACACATATTTTCAAAATGCGTTATTTTCAGTTTATTTACACCTTCGTAAATTTCATATTCATTTACTGTGAGAAACAAATCAACATATTACATTGCACAGGGTTATAAATTCAGGGCATGTAGCACGAATGGGGGAGAAGAGGAATGCATATAGGATATTGGAGTAAAACCCGAAGGAGAGAGACCACTGGGAAGACCAAGGCGTGGGTGGGTGGACAATATTAAAATGGATCTTAGAGAGATAGGATGAGATGGTATGGATTGGATTGATCTGGCTGAAGATAGGGATCAGTGTAGGACTCTTTTGAACGCGGTAATGAACCTTCGGGTCCCATAAAATGGTGGATATTCTTGAGTAGCTGCAGAATTGGCGGCTCCTCAAGAAGGGCTCAGATCCATGAGTAAGCAAAGATTATAAATTATTTTCCTCGTATTCCTTAAAGTATTTATCCTATCGAATAGTGTATAAATGAACCGTGTAACACAAGCCTATTGAATAATGCTATGTTTCATATGATGCACCATTATTGTGCATTGGAACCTTTTTAAGAATATCACGCAAAGTTCTATATCAGCTTCGTGTAAAAGATGAGATTATAACAGACAGGTAGGCACTAAAGATAATTCACTCATGTACTCAAATTTCAAACTTAATCGAACTCCTTCCAGTACCTTCGAAGATAAAGGATGCTAACACGAGGAAAGACAACATAACCTCCCACCTCATGCGTTCACTTCGTTATCTTTGCGCAAACAAGTTTTATAAATTAGATTCACATATATTTCCTGCTGATTAATATTCTTTTTCTCCTGAATGTTCAAAACTTGTCACTTTCTCAAAACTCCAAATCGACTAAACGCGTCTGGAGAAGAGGAAACACGTATTCCTCTGTAGAGGTGTTCAGGAGATGTAATTTCACGAGTGACAGTCAGCGTCAGATCTCACAGGAACAGTTCATAATTGAATAAACTCGAGCAAGAAATTTCCACGTGTAAGAAACAAAACTGCCAGAAGAAAAATACACAACATAAATGTTGCGTGTTTGATGTTGACGCGAAATTTACAGCAGCAAAGCAACAGTACTGTCTGTTGTCCTGAGATCCAAACCTGTTCTCCTCCTTTCTTAACAAGCCATTATTTCTACGGATTGATTGATTTCTGTTTGCTACAGGAAATGAATTACTGCGTTAGGGTCCCTGACCGCTGAAGTCGGACTGGTTTGTTTCGTTTGATTTGTTAGGTGTGTTTTTTTTTCCAATAGCAACAGATCATCAGTTTAACCTTTCACGCCTAAGATTAAATTTTTTTGACTAGAAAAGTGATGACATAGGCAGTACTTGGTAACGTCACTGCCCTCATGTAGAAACAGAACCAGTTATCCTGGCATTCAGCTGTCATGTCAGGGATGAAACCCGGCGCTATCAGCAACTTTATCGTTTAGCAAATGTATTTCACACCCTAAAATAATTACCGTCTCCCGCTAAGACGATTTTCAACTAATTTTGTATCTTTGTAAAAATGAAATGATAAATCGATGAATGTGTTTAAATTGCGCTCAGGCATTAGAATCGCGGGTTCGAATTGCATATAATGTGTATTTTCCTCTTTTATTTCAGGCGAAAGAGCCCTAGACACTGTTTGCCTTAATGAGGATTCAGACAAATTATGAAGAGACCTGGCTGTGAATTGAATTCTAACCCCCTCGGTTGGGGCGCGTTCAAGCGGTTAGTCACTGGCTTCCCACCGCGGCGGCCAGGGTTCGATCCCGGGTCTGGTCAAGTGGGATTTGTGGTGGAAAAAGTGGAGCTGGGGCAGGTTTTTTCCGAGTACTTCGGTTTCCCCTTCCAATCTTCATTCCACCAATTTCTCCACAATCATCCTTTGCCTTTTTATTGATGAGTGTCCGCCACTGGTGCCTATACTGAGCCTGATCATTCCAATCGACATAATCACACCCTGTATTTTAAGACCCATTTTAATATTAACTTCATAGTCTATCCGACTAAGTGTTTCGGGTCTGAACAACATAGCCACGTACTGGAGGTCAGCACGAAGCGCTGGCTGGCGTGTGAATTTCATTTTGCTGTTTACCGGTAGACAAAGAATCCTGCTGGTCTTGCGGCCAACTTTTAGCTTCATTAAACTTCTCGGGATAAAGTCTCATCTTCCAAATTATAGCCCAGAGGGTGTGTATATACCCTTAAAAGATTGAAAGCTGAGTTGAAAATACGTATTTTAATGGTGTACGTGGGATGAACTTAGTGATATCACAGTCCAGCCGTGACATTCAGCATTGAATATGTACGTACATGTCACATGTTCCAAGCAGATCTTCCAGATAAGCGTCCTTCGTAAAAATTACAGCAGTTAACACCAAGGGGACTATTTGCTGACAGAAGCAACACTGCAAGCAGCTCACATAGCAGCGATTAGATTTCATTATGTAGAGTTGCCCCTACATGATCAAGTCAAGTTGGATGAGACGATCAGGGCATGTAGCACGAATGGGGCAGAGAAGGAATGCATATAGGATATTGGTGGGAAAGCTAGAAGGAAGAAGACCACGACGTAGGTGGTGGATAATATTAAAATGGATCTTAGAGAGATAGGATGGGATGGTATGGATTGTATAGATCTTGCTCAGGATAGGGACCAGTGGAGGACTCTTGTGAACACGGTAAAGAACCTTCGGGTTCCATAAAATACTGGGAAGTTCTTGAGTAGATGCACAATTGGCAGCTTCTCAAGAAGGGCTCAGCTCCATGAGTGAGTCAGTGAGAGTTGCCCCAACGCTTAATTAGTTAAGCAGAGCGGATTTAGAAGCTGTAGAAACGAGAAAATTATCTAGTCTCTGTCGAGAATCGAACCCAAATTCCTCGGCCATCTAGCCCATAGCCAGTTCGCTATACAGGCTTAAGTACCCTGACTCTTTAGTTTATAAAGTGAAAATGATCTCTCATTTCCTACACTGTAATGTTTTAGTGCTGTTGGCTTTTGCAGAAGTACATTTTTATCTGTAATAAATCAACATCGAAGTCAGTAAGGGATACAGAACAGTAAATAATGGATTCAAAAATAAATTTCCTCCATACGAGTGCGAATTTATATCCTCAATTTCGTTTGGTACATCTCTAGTCTGTAATAGTCACTGCAGCTGAAACAGCTTGAAATACACCAGTACTTCACTGTCTTCACCACCATGCTTGCATTCCATATACGTCATTTTGCTGTCAGAATCGATGTTATCGATAGTTCGATATAATCGAATGAGTTATTGACAGAGTTATGGATGAAATCGATACCGCTGGAAGCACCCACGCGCCACGCTTTATTTGTGCTGCACGATTCGCAAGGTCCAAATCTGCTTCGGTTGGCAGATTTATGACCCACCCAATAAACCGCATCAAAGTTACAATTTGGCTCCCACGTCTTCAAACAGCGGGGCGCCTACGGACGGATGCCTCAGGTGTGGGGACATTCTTCTAAATCTAATTTGCTTTTTGACACTAATGAGGCATAGCTACAGTAGGAGTTCTTGCAGGTGGATGTAGCAGCTGCATGCCACTTTCGGTACTTCAGGAAATCACGGATCTCCGTAAAAAGCATCAGCTGAGAAACGCGAAACTCTTCTACAGCAGCCTCGGCAACTTAAGTCGGAAAAAGTAGAAAACACCTTTTATTATAAAATGCTAGGGGACCTGATCACGTTCCCATTGTAGACAGGTTTCCATTTGACAGCCATTTAATATGCGATAAAATCGTACTGCGCAATACATAAAAGGTAAAGTATCCCTGTGTGCTTAACTAACTAGTCACTACGCAATGAAGACGTATGGGGGAGTGGATGTATAGATCCACATTTGCTATATCTTGCGTCCGCTCTGAGGAAACGTATTTCTTCCGTCTTCATTGTTCTTGTCTGTTTTTACGCTCACGTTCAGCGTTCAAATGTTAGCATTTTCAGGCTAGTCGCATATCCATGCTTTGGGAAGTTGCACTGAACGCTGACTGTGGACGGCTGTCTGTGTGTTGCAGGAACTGCTGCAAAGACTGTTTCAACTGTTCGACCAGGACCGCGACAGCCTTCTGGTGCAGGAGGCCTGGGTCGAGTTCCTCAAGGAGCGCCTAACGTGAGTACAGACTGCCCCAGATCTGCATGCTAATTCCATCCTTTGCTCTGCCGTCATCTCTGATGAGTTTGTCGGTTTCCATACTTTTCTCGCCTTTAGGTCACCGAGCACAGGTGCCACTGAGATGTCATGCATACATACGTACATACATTCAGGTACACGATAAAAAACATGGAATATATACATACACACGCGGTCCACGCGGTAGTCTACTTGGTTGAGGCACTGTGCTACATGCCGGAAGGTCTTGGGTTTCATTCCCGATGAGGTCATTGGATTTTTCAATTGACCTATTCCTTTAACAGCCGCACTATGGCCCTGAGGTCGGCTCAGCCTCTCACAGAAATGAGCACCAGGAATCTTCTTGGGGGATAAAATGTTCCGGCCCGTAAAGCTGATAGCCTCACCGCCATCTGTGAGCCGATTGTCTAGAAAATGTGGGAGCCGAGATAGCTCAGTCGGTACAGCAACTGTCCAGAGGATGGACGGGGAGGGTTCGATTCCCGTCCCGGACAAAAAATTTCTCTACATTACCTCGTCTGGACCAAATCTGAGGCCCACCCAGCCTCATATCTAGTGGATACCGGGGCAGTTTTTTCGGAGGTAAAACAACCGGGGCGTGAAGCCGACCATCTAGTGCCGAGGTCAAGAATGACGGAGCTTTAGATCCACTTCCCCACATGTCTTCATTGCCTGACGCTTAATTACTTAAGCGCAGGGACAATTTTATCATTATATTAATATGTACAGTAAATTTGGGTGAATTTTCTCCTTGTGCTCCTTCAAACTGGATGAAAGTTGTAAGAGAAAATAAAGGAATTTGATGGTTGTGAAAAATTGAGGTAAATTTTTGTGCTTTGGTTGGCAATAATGGAAGTGACTTGTGTGATTTCGGTCTTTGAAACTTCGTTATGGTTATATTATGGCTTCAACGCGCCGCGCTTAGTTTGATTATTATCTCCTAGTCTCAAGCACTTCTCCAATGTAAGTTTGTGCTCAGTTTGCCAATAAACTTCTAAAAAATTATTTCAGCAGATTTGTGTTTATTTCCAACTGTGTTATGTAATATAAATTTCTTTCGTCGGAGTAGGCTTGCTTAAAAAGGGGGGGGACTTTGCACCACAACACACCAGTAGAAAGCCTTTTTAATCCCGTAATCAAATCTTGTGGTCATTTTGTGGTTTTTCTTTTTGAGGAAAATATTTATCCAGGAAAAATATCAAGATTTAACGAAAGAAATAAGTATATTTCCGCCATGGTGAAAAGTCTGAAATCGTTGTTGCCAGAAAAAAAGCCAGATATTCCTGAATATGAATTGAGTAACGTGCTAGCAGGCATTAATCCTCCGAAACTCGTGTCAAAGAAATGAATTTATTCCATCCGGGAGCTTTCAACATTTTTTTGAGTTCGGACCGTCAGATAATGAGTTATTATATTCATTCTGTGTTCTTTATAATATATATTTTCTTATTATAATTTTCTTTAATTGTGATGTTTTCCGAGATAGGATGGGATGATATGAATTGGATTGATCTGGCTCAGGACAAGGACCAGTGGAGGGCTCTTGTGAACACAGTAATGAACCTTCAGATTCCATAAAATGCTGGGAAATTCTTGAGTAGCTGCACAATTGGCGGCTTCTCAAGAAGGGTTCAGCTCCACGAGTGAGTGAAAATGATGATGTTTTCCAGTGTGATACAGTACTTTTTATTGATGATATTCTTTGGCATTATTGCTTTGTTTCTTGTGATAAAGGCCCTTAAAACCGAAAATATTATTTTTGAGCAAGTATTTCAAATCAATGGTGCATATTCTACCCTTCAGAAGAGGATACATCTCACAAGATGACTTTCCCATACTTTTTATATGGAATCTCTTCTGTTGTGTAAAGTATCCTAGACCTCCGGGAAACGTTACTTCAAAGTTTAACAATAAACATGTGACATATATGAAATGAAATTAAGCCAAATCAACCATGGGTGATTCCTTTAGCAGTGGACTTACAGTAAGAAAAAATACAGTAGAACTTGGTTATAACGTCATCAAAGGGACCTAAAAATAGTGTCGTTATAAACGAATGTCGTTGTAACCGAAATGGGCACTTCCACAGTAGCCTTATGTTAGTCACGTAAAAAT